CCACATCTTGAGTAGAATTCGCAGAATGTATCCCTCGTCTATTGTGTACTGCAGATATACAATTGGCACGTCTCCTTTTACACTCGTTTCTGTCTATACAGCGTTGTCATTCAATGCCCAAAGAACCTGGGCAGCTAACAGAACGCCAACCATACCACATGATGCACAAGTGGCAAAAAACTCGACATTCCAAGACACGCCTTTGCTCTACCAGTACTACATCGGACTTGGCGAATCCATAAACGTTCAGGGTCCGCTGCGACATGAGACAACTGTGGAGGTGAGGTGTGAAAGCAAGGCCAATTCTGATTGATTCCCGATTTCGAACATGTCCATGCTCTTCTCTTGTTCAAACACTCGTGACTACTTTTTCAAAGTAATAGACAATAGGCTACCTTCACTGCCCACACAGAGATCATTACCCAGGGTTAGAGCTCTATAACACAGAAGTCGTAACAATGCGGTAGCTGCAACTTCTCAAAACAAAGCAACCCATAGGGAACACAAGTTTAACAACATAACAGTCTCTTTCTGTGGCATGGCTTGTTTCTATTCTTTCTGCCCACGGAAGATCTTAGTGTCCAGCAAGAACAATCTCACTCTCAACCGTGCACAGCTGGGCGTGAAGTACGAGTACGCCTTGCCACTGGATGTGCGTGACACCCCCAAGTACAAGTGGGTGATGGTCTATACTCCCTGCTCAGTCACCTGCGGAACAGGTATGCTTTGCCAGTTCTAGTCCTCACTACCGTATCTTCAAGGTGTACATGAGAAGGTAGATACATTTCAACTTGTGTGTGTGGATTTGGACAATACATCACCGCTTCATGCAGGCTGGCATTTCTGTCTACTCCCAACCTGCAGGCCTACAAATGCGAAAGTATGCTTGTGAAAGCATTTCCACCCGGATCAAAGAGGACAATGCGAAATGCCGAGGGATCTGGCGCCCTTCCCGCAACACCGTACCGTGTACTCGCTCACCATGCTCGTAGGTCAATAGGTAGAGCTGCATGACTGGTCTGTAAGGATATTTGGCATGCCCTTTACTCACAGAGTGCATGAGCAGCAGGGGGGTTCAAGGGTGGGGGGGGGGGTAAGGCGTGGTTGAGGGGGAGGTTATTGAGGAATTCGGGTCTAATATCACGAAAAATGGCCAAACGTCTCTCTCAGTACCAACTCCCGCAATCCCGCTGGAGCCCCCCCCCCCCCCCACATACACCACACTAGTCCTGCCCACTCCAATCTGAAACACACTCACCGGTGCTGGTACATGGTGAACAGTGCATACCATTACGTCAGTTTACTCATGTGTTGGGTTGGTTCTAGGTAGTGTAGTCAGGGATCCAGAATTATTTTGGTGCTGATAGAATCCAGTTTGAAGTAGAGTCAACTTCGCTAATAACGACTGTGGATATAACGACAATTCGCGAATAGCGACAGAATTTCCATGCCCAGAGCAAAGTCCCATCAAACTGTAATACATATAACGAGACTTCGGGTATAAGGACACTTCGCAAATAAGGACACTTTTCTGATGCCCCGCCGAGTGTCGTTATACGCAAAGTTGACTGTACTTGCGCGAGTGTGTCTAATGTTAGTGTCATGCAAGGTCATCGCATGAGCTGATTGTCAAGTAACTGGTGTTAGTGGACATTGTAGTGCAAGTTGTAGTTCCTTGGTCCTGTTCTTTTCTTTGCTATAAATTATTCCTTGGCTCTCCATTCCAGTCCATCCGTGTCTGGTTCTATGTGATGTTTCCACCTCAGAGCGACGCCAGACTGCACACCTATCAACGGAGGATGGAGCACGCGGTCTGTTTATACTGCCTGCTCACGTCCATGTGGTGGTGGTGTGAAGTACCGCGATCGCACTTGCAACAATCCACGGTATGCAATGTGGATGTGCAAGCTTTGCTGCGCCACGTACCATTGTGTGTGTGTGTGTCGGTGTTGGTACCAGATCTACTTAAACTAGCCTACCTTGTGTACTGCATCAACGTGTTAATTGTTCAACTCAATACGTTCGTATTATGCTTTGTTTGTGTGCACTTAGACCAAGTTGCGGAGGAGCGGAGTGCATAGGACGATCTCGGGAGTATATCATGTGCAATAATCAGGTGCGCTACATATGATCCCTCAATTGCAGCAAGGTTTATGGTCACTACTGTTATGTAGCTTAACTATGGGAAAAGTGTTTGAAACTTCTCAGGACTGGACAGTGATCAGGAAATCGGAAGCCTTATTATTGTTCAATCAACAACTTCCTCTTTCTGGCTCTCACTACATGTTTTGTGATGTTGATGGTGATACTGCAGTGAGATGTATCTGCAATTAGATTTCACTTCCCTACTTTGCTCAGACCTCCGTCCATTCATTATGATGTACTGAACTAAGCATTGGAAATGTCTTTGAGACCCTGTTGCACAAAGGCATGTTACTACCGAAATTGTCTCTACTCCACAACCCAGGCATGGCTGCCACAGCTAACTAGAAAAGAGAGAAAGAGCAATACATGTATTAGTGCACACCCAAAGTCTGGGGCAGGTTGGCCAGGTACCAATCAATACCAAGGAAAGGCCAGTGTGAGTCTGCAAACACACTGTCCACACGACGCATTCTTGCCCAAAGAAAAAATGGAATTAAAAGAGTAGTTAGTTGGTCCTCTTTTCTTCTTACAAAAGATTAGTACAAGTAAATATATGCATGTATGTGCATGTATGTGCGCGTAAAATATTGTGTGTATGAACGTGCATATATGTTGTCGGTGGTTCAGGATTGTGACACCCGTGAGGAGTACAGCAGAGCGCGCCAGTGTAACCAGACGTTTGGAACCGACTCTGGACTTGTTCATCCATTCTATGGCGGTAAGTCACTGGCAGTCAGAAGTAATGGTTACACTACCATCTAAGTATTCTAGAATATGGCCACGCCATGTTTGTATCAGACTGCAGAGCCTCCCGCACAAAATATTGCAGACTGGGAAAAGATGCATCGTCATGCGAAATAATTATTGTGCTCGCGTTCTGAACGTGTGTGATGTGTAATTCACACAGTATGGGAACTTTAGCGTGGAAATGTATTTGGCACACTGACAATGGCGTGTGAAACCATACCAATTATTTAACACCAGCATCTGCATGCCGCACTCACACAGTGAACAACCAGTTTGGGGAATAGGAGGGTTTGTCAATTGCTTTGCCAGGCTCCGAGCGAGTGCCAGCTTAGAACTGTGTGAATGTGTATGTGTGGCAGCTGGGTAGGGCCCTGCTGCGGAGGCTGAGTGAGCAGTATTGAGGCAGCTGGGCACGGCCCCGGTTACGGAGGCTGAGTGAGCCGTATTGAGAGGCTGAGTGAGCCGTATTGAGAGGCTGAGTGAGCCGTCCGAGTGTTAGAGGCTGAATGAGCTGTATGAGGAGCATGGTAAGCAAGGTTGACTCCCCAAATGGAGAACCTCCTATTCACTGTCAACTGTAGGTAATGAGCACATGTTAGCGCTGGATGCCGTGTGTTCACTGTGTTGTTTTGTACAGGCAACCCATCACAGCACTGCACTCAGCTACAATGCTACCGAGGCGTGACGAAAGCCGTCCAGCAGCAGACAGTGCGAGTGGAGGACGGCACACCGTGCACACTCCACTCGAGAGATCGCTGTGTCAGCGGCAGGTGTGAGGTACAGTGCTACTGTGATTAGGCACATCTATGGAGGCAGGGGCAGGGGCAGAGGCAGGGGCAGGGGCAGGGGCAGGGGCAGGGGGAGGGGGGGGGGAGTAGTTGAGATCTAAACAATATCCAGGCTAAGACAGTGTAGTCTGTTCCATGTCAAAACATGCATTATCCAGTCGAAGATTTGTTACTCGCCATCATGCAATTCCTGTCGATTTTCTCCTCGGGTACACCTTGCTCACCCTCTATCAAATTGTTTGTGTTAATCAAAGGTCTGGCTATTGATATTTCCCCCTTTTGACTCACCGTTTTGCAGAGAGTCGGTTGTGACAATGTCTTCAACTCAACACTAGCCACAGACAAATGTGGCATCTGCGGCGGAGACAATTCAACTTGTCGTCAAGTTACGGGTCTATTTAATACCAGTGAGTGCACGTGTGTATGTGTGTGGTTCTGTGTGTGTGTGTGTGTGTTTGTGTGTGTGTCTGTGTGTGTATGTGTGTATGTGTGTATGTGTGTGGTCCTGTTTGCCCGTAGTAGAATAGTTGTGCCGAAATGAATTGTCCAACATACTCCTTTGGAGGCCCCATCTTTGATTTGCTGGTGTCTGCAATGGTAGCAGATCGTGTGTGTGTGTGTGTGTGTGTGTGTGTGCGTGCGTGCGGGCGTGTGCATGTGCGTGTTTGTGTATGCGTGTATACGTGTGCATATCAATGATTCGTTGAGTTGAGGCCAGTATGGAATTCACTGCCTTACTATATCTCTGCTTGTATACACGGGCTTCATGAGGAAGGGTGCACTTAAAATGAAGGATCTCAGGATTGTAGGATTGACACTAAATGTGTACGATACCTGCATGGCACTCTTTCCACTATGTTTGTCTATGTCAGGAGGATCGAGTTGGTACATCTCCTTACCAGTCAATACTGTCCGTGCCAAGATTCAGATGAGGCCAACCACCCAGCCCGTATATATTAGTAAGTAGTGGACTGCATGGCGTTATCCGAATCATTGTACCTGATGCTGAGTAACTTGAACAGCAAGATTAGGTTAGGACCATGTTACCACCGTGCATCTTACATGCGCACACAGTGGATACAGGGGAAGTCTGCATAGCGACAGTAACTAGGATGATCTACTCATGACATCACACTTAAAGGGGAAGTATACCCTAAAATCAAATTTTCACCAGTTGTAATCTTCGGGGTGCTGAGTCGAATGGTCTTGGTCCGAGGAAGCTGCGACGCTCCCTTCCTACTTGAATCCCAATCGAACTCGCGCACTTCCACCGAAACTGGGTGACTGCGCCCTACGAGATGGGGATTTGTATGCAAAATGTCACTAAAAGCGCCATTTCGTTCTTATAAAAGCACGGATGACCGCGATTGGCCCATATGTTGTAGTCTTTTGGACGCTGAGTCGACTGGTTTTGGTCCGAAAAGGCTGCGATGCAGCGTTCCTCCTTTATTCCCAATCGAACATGGTTGAAGAAGTGGTCACGTGCTCCTGCGTACACCAGTCACCTGGTCACCGTGCCTGCAGGGTACAACTTACTAGCCTGTTTGACCTTTTTTGGGTGCAGTCCTGTCACTCGAGTTGAACTCGAGTTGAACCTTGGTGTGAAAGTTGTCGCCTGCTGGCGCGGTGACCAGGTGATTTGGGCACCCAGGAGCACGTGACCGCTTGTTCAACCATGTTCGATTGGGAATAAAGGAGGAACGCTGCATCGCAGCCTTTTCGGACCAAAACCAGTCGACTCAGCGTCCAAAAGACTACAACATATGGGCCAATCGCGGTCATCCGTGCTTTTATAAGAACGAAATGGCGCTTTTAGTGACATTTTGCATACAAATCCCCATCTAGTAGGGCGCAGTCACCCAGTTTCGGTGGAAGTGCGCGAGTTCGATTGGGATTCAAGTAGGAAGGGAGCGTCGCAGCTTCCTCGGACCAAGACCATTCGACTCAGCACCCAGAAGACTACAACTGGTGAAAATTTGATTTTAGGGTATACTTCCCCTTTAACGCACTCTCCACATACAGGCATGCACCCGGCTCAGAACACATTGTTTTCTGGTTGGCATATCAGGGATATTGGGCGGAGCAGCTGGCGTGCATGAGAAAGACAGGTCGGCCTGCTCTGCGCAGGAGCTGTGACCCGGTGCACACATAGTGTGTGTGAGAGAGAGAGACAGACAGGTCGGCCTGCTCTGCGCAGGAGCTGTGACCTGGAGCACACAGAGTGTGAACGAGAGACGGTCGGCCTGCCGTGGGCAGGAGCTGCGACCGGTTGTGATTGAAAGGAGCCAGCTGCGGAGATAGACTGCCCTCACCCGATATAAGTATATTGACAAGAGTTGTACTGACACTATTATTGAGGAAATTATGGTGACAGTGATGGAGAGATAGTGATCCCCAGTCGAATGGGGTTGGGAGGGAAGGGGAAATTGACAACTGACGGACAAACCAGTGAACAGTCAAGTCGTCGGAAAGCAAAAGTGACAAAGGAGTCTCTCTTTTCTCTTTCTCTCTCTCTAAAGCAAGATTTGGAAAGCACGCGTGGGAGAGTGGCGCGCGCTGCGCATGCGCATGTATAGCAATGACATCATAATCAGATGCATGATCATCAGACTAAGTATGAGTGGTAGATGTTCCACGTTCGTTAACAGGGCTTAGCGCACACGCTAAACCACCAATAACACATAGATGTAGGCTATAACAACTTGGCACAAGACGTTGAAGCCATGGTCGTGCTACTTGTGCCTATTTTTGCCCATTTGTTTAGTTGCCAGAGACCCAGATCAGGAGAACTCACAGGAGTTTGTGATCGCTGTCCTAGACGTGGGTGTCAGCAGGGTGCGGTACAGCGATGCAGAGCTTGTTCACTCGCGCTACTTTGGCATCCCAGAGACCCTGGAAGTCAGTGGACATTTGAAGCGTCCGCTGAGAGTGGAAGTAAGCCCGGTTATTTCCGTGAAGCCAGTGATGTAACTTGTATGTCGAAGTGCTGTGCAGCACCGGATAATGACTGAGGAGACTTTCAGGATTTGGCCTTGTTCTTTATAGTGCCCTACAGAACTACGAAAGAATTTGATTTTAGCGTGAAAAGAGGTAGAAAAGATGACTGATAAGTTCTAAATGAAGCACTGCATTGCAGTCATAATTGCAGATAGTTTGCAGACGTTCCTAAACATGACACGATGTGATGGCATGCTTTGTACCTTTACCAAATCAACACTTCAAACACGACGGTGTTTGCTCAATGTTGGTCTCATTCACTGTAGATTTACCGTGGTCGAGCTACCACCTTCCGACCCACAGCAACGTATGACTACTCGGTTACTGCGCTGGAGTGGGGTCAAGACCTTGACCGTCCAGCCTGCCCGGTGACATGTGGAATAGGTATGTACTGATGCACGGTCAATCTGTTCACATTCGCTCCATAACTCAGTGGAGTGCACGGCAGCTTGAATAATGCTTGAGTGCTGTGTGCGCGTGATTGTTGGGCGGAGAACTTTGTCATGACTTGCTCTATGATTTCCTCAGTACAATTTTTTAACTTAATGGTTATGCTTAGGAGGGATATCCAGTCTTCGCTGAAGTGTTGAGGCAGTGCATCCAGCGTGTGTGTGCTTTCTGGTTTCTGGTTGTCAATGCCGTTCCAGGTGTTAAGACTGCAGTCGTGCAGTGCATGGTGGGAACAAAGTCCGTCAGCAATAGCCTCTGCAAAACCTTGAAGCTTTCCAAGCCTAGTTCTCTGAGACGCAAGCGCTGTCGTTCAGGAGCACCGTGTCCTATCGTGTATGTATTGCTATATCATAATAGAACATGTCCTAGCCTATTAGAGAGAGAGAGAGAGAGAGAGAGAGAGAGAGAGAGAGAGAGAGAGAGAGAGGTAGAGAGAGAGAGAGAGAGAGAGAGAGAGAGAGAGACAGACAGAGAGACAGAGAGAGGGAGAGAGGGAGAGCCCGTCCATTTGTCCATCCGTTTGTTTGTCCGTCCGTCTGTTCATTTGTCTGTTTGTCTGTCTCTCTGTATATCTGTGAGTGTCTGTATCTGTACTGTGTTTCATGATACAGGTATCGGTATGAATGGAAGCCATACCCATGGACTCAGTGGACACGCACTTGTGGAACTATGGTCCGGCAGCGCCACATTGTCTGCACACAAACTGCTACAACGGGACCAGACCGCGGCAGGGAAAGGGAAGTTCTTGAAGAGAATTGTGAGAGTAAGCAATTGCCTCAGCCGGAAACGGTAGAGTTACGACGGATGCGCTGTCCCGTATATCGCTGGCACACAGGTGATTGGAGAAGATGCTCGCGCAGTTGTGGAGGAGGTGTGCAGACCCGTCGTGTGCGTTGTGTTGTTTCCAGAGGTGACACGCCCGGCCTCACACAGGTCAGTGGTAGCTTGTGTGATGCCAATCGTCTGCCGCCCAATCAGCAAACCTGTTCCCGGCAAGCCTGCGTCGTAACGACTCCTGCTCCTCCACCAACCACCACACCAACCACCACTCCAACCACCACACCCACGACAACACCCACTACAACTCCAACCACTACACCCACCACCACGCCAACTACAACACCCACTACCACCCCGACTACCACACCAACCACAACGCCCACCACCACTCCTACAACAATACCCACGACGACACCTACCATTGCACCCACCAGTGAGCCGACGACCACATCAAGACTCACAATTCCTCCATTGACCACCGACATGCAGGTCATCACTGACTTCCTATCAACACCATATGATCCTGTAAAATCTCCGCATCTTGTGGTGACTACCCCGGCTCCTGCAACCAGCACACAAGCACCGTTTCCAGCAGTACTGACTGACCAAGCACCGCAAGCCTTCCTCAAGAAAGAGCATGTTGATCAGTTGAAAGCTGCATTACCACTACGATGGGTTATGGAGCCTTGGGGAGAGGTGAGTGTTCATGACTGTAGCTTTGGCCACCTGTACTTTGAGTTGAAGCAATTCTTTCACTAACGTCAGATATTGCTACCTCTTGCCCGTCTGAGCTTTGTCTATAATTGTTACTGTAGGCTTTGACTGACACCACCCGAGCTATGAACGTTTCTTGGAGCAGTGTGTTTGACTGAACGTGTATCAACAATTAACCTACAAGTAGTCACTGTGCCTGCTTGCTTTCCTTGACATCTCCAGGCATAAGCTTCATTCACTCAGTGAGTCACTCACTCACTCACTGTATCATTCACTCTCTCACACAAAATCTCATTCACACTCACACACACACAAACACACACACACACACACACACACACACACACACACACACACTCTAACTCTGTGTTTCTTTCACCCTTCATTCTCCTCTCGTTCCTTTTCCTTCCCTCCTCCTGCTACTGTTGTTCCTTCCGACTTTCACTCTTCGGCTATCTTTCTGCCATGATTTCTTTCTGCCATGATCTTTTCATTCTCTTCACAGTGTAGTATATCATGCCATCAAGGTGACCAGCATAGACGTGTCTATTGCATGCGACTCGGATCTGATCATGAGGTTGCTCTCATGTACAGGGATGAAGAGTGCCTAGAACACTTGCTGAACGAAGTCAAGCCTCACACTCTCCGCACCTGCAACACTGACTGTAAGTCTAAACACAATTGTACTTAGAGCACTGGAACTGGAAAGCCTGAATATGAATGATACTACAGTGTACTTGTACATAGCATAGTAGCCCAGTTTGTCAGTACAACAGTACTGTCAGGTGCAGAAGAACGGAGTGCCGAAGAACAACCAGGCTATAATTTCATCAAGCACAGCATACTAATGTATACAATCATGGTGACTCAACTGTGCACAGACCGTAATACGTGAAAATAAGAACGGTCCAGGCTAGGAGACTGCCCCCCCCCCCCCCCCAGTTCTTTGGCGACTGACAGTACTGCAGTGTGTGACCAATGTTTCAACTTCCATCAGGAACACATGGTAATACATCTCTGAACTATGTGCAACTCTTGATACTCTTGAAGCGCTGATACCCTGTTCCTTTTCGATTCGCGCCAATATAAAAATGCACAGTTCACTTCAGCCCAGAGTGAATTTCTAGACTCCACGACACATACAGTGGAATATCACTGATATGAATCAGTGTTCTTCGACACGCCACCATTATCACCTGTAACAGCAGCATGGGCGGTTGTTGCACATTTTAGTGCCGTGCACACAGATCAGAGAGAACGACTATTCCCATGGGAAGAAGTCCACTCATGGCTTGTCCAACTTGAATTAGAGAGGTTCTGCTATACGTGAAACATAGAGAAATCACGTAGAGAGCAGGTGTCTGGGTTAGAATCTACGGCTTCGCGTGTTTTGGGTCCAGATCTCTACGCTTAGATGAGGTTCTCCAATCTGGTGATTCGATTTTAATGATGTGACCGGTTTCCTGCGCAATCGATTTGCAGAACCCAGTGATAAACGAGAACTTAGTCATAAACACATTACTGTGACATTAGCCAAATGACGTCTCACTTACCTTGGGTAGCTAGCATGCCTTGACCTGGGCTAGGCCAGGGAAGAGATAACATGTAAACACATTGCACAAGCTTATATCGACTGAGAGGTTTGTTTCGAGATGCAGCCCAGGGCTCACAGCATCTGATGTACAGCCTCTTGACTCTATTTCTTCTGCACTGGCTCATCGGAAAAATGTGCTGTTCACTATAACTGACTTGATTGTTAGCAGCTGACAAGTGTCCAGCTGAACAGAAAGCAGATTCTGGCTCTTGGGCCGTGACTGCTGCAGGTTAAGAATAAACAGAGCCTATGCAATGAAATATGGACCTGCCTCGGGTGCAGTACTGTGATTGGCTAGGCAACTACTTGTATGTCACATGGCTTCAGGGTAACAGACAGTGCTGTATCCACGGTTGATTCTCTAGTCAAATGGCAGCTGCTGGTCGGGTGTCCACTATACATTGACGCCTAGCCCTCGCAGCTTTCCTTGCAATCCCAAACGGCTCCAAGTATTGATGTCCTGCATCGGCACGTTTACGATGATCCCGTCAACACCACCCATGTGCCTCGTTGATAGTTCATTCATATACATGTACTTGTACTACATCCCCAGCTTTCTCTTACCCTAGCCTTTCACCATGTTTTGTGTGCAGGAGACTATCTACATGCCATCGGTAGACAATGCAATGGCATCCGCCTATTCAAAGGCCAAGGTCACCTTGTGGCAAGTACTGAGTGTTGAGTTCAACTGGTGATGGGGATTAGTTTCTTGACTACCCATGCCATCATGACTACCCATGGCTTCATGCTGTACAGGACGTAAACTATAATTATCACCAATACTATAATTATGTATACACAATTGCCTACGGTATTGGATTTGATTGATTTGGTACCGATGACGAGTGAACAATGGAAATATCTTCTCGCCTCCCCCTCCCCCTGCCCTCCCCCTGTCCTCGCCTCTCTCTCTCTCTCTCTCTCTCTCTCTCTCTCTCTCTCTCTCTCTCTCTCTCTCTCTCTCTCTCTCTCTCTCTCTCTCTCTCTCTCTCTCTCTCTCTCTCTCTCTCTCTCTCTCTCTCTCTCTCTCTCTCTCTCTCTCTCTCTCTCTCTCTCTCTCTCTCTCTCTCTCTCTCTCTGTCTCTCTCTCTGTCTCTGTCTCTGTCTCTGTCTCTGTCTCTCTCTGTCTCTGTCTCTGTCTCTGTCTCTGTCTCTGTCTCTGTCTCTCTCTCTGTCTCTCTCTGTCTCTCTCTCTGTCTCTCTCTGTCTCTATCTCCTTTTTCTCCTTTTCTCTTCTCCTTCTCTTTCTTACATAGTCCTCTCTTGTCTTCCTCTTTGTCTGTCTCAATTGCTATGCTGCTTTCACTATCTGCGCATCAAAGTTAGCAATTGATGAGAGTTCCAGCCAAGCGGATGATGGTTCTGATCCATCAGTACACACAGCTATGCTAAGCTATAGTGTGCGACCCCATGTACATTTTCCCCTGGTGTCCCACCTCACTGCCTTTAGAGAGTGTTCCAAACACAGCATATCTGAATACAGCGGCCAGCTGGCAATGAATATTTTGCACTGTATAATACTACTTGATACCAATTTCCAATTTCTTATAATTATTTTCTGGCTTCTGCAACTCAAAGATGTTGAACATTGCATACTCTGATTATAAACATTGGCAGACTAAAAATTATGATCACGTTGTAACTTGGTTGGCTGTGCGTGAATGAATGACCATGTCATCTGAAATGATTTGTCGTGGAGCCAAGTCGGGCGACTTTATTGTTTCTCTTTCTGCTTTGTGTCAGACCGAGGCAAGCATGTGCAAGAGAGTCAGTAGGACAAACGCTGCACTCACCCCGGACATACCCTTACATGTCACTGTATTTACCCGGAAGGCGGCCACTAGATATATCCACTTATCCAAGCGCCATGCACCATTGCGGTGGACACTAGTCTTAAGCGTGGAAAGCTCCATCAACTGGAGCCAAGCTGCCTAGCTGAAGTGTACGGTGTAATAGTCAAATGGGGAGCACAATGCATGTTGTCCATTTTTGAAGTTGACTGATAGACTCAAACTATTGCATGGCACGTGGCAGTGGTACACACAGGCCGTGAACGTGACTTCCCTGATTGTTAGTAGTTCTGAGCAGGCTTTATACGGTTTGAGGCACTTTGTGATGATTGACATGCATGACCAAAGCCGTCGACAGCATGTGCGCAATCGTGCACCACCGACAGGCAAACCTGGCACGTTCTCACCCGTTTTCATGCTTGCTTGTTGTGCTGAGTGGCACTGCACTCATAGTGTTGCTCTGCTTCTCTTCCACACTCTGCTCAGGTGCGCTGGGGACGGGATTCCGATGTGGTCAGGTGCATGCGTGTCCGACAGCTGATCACATGTGGCCAGGCCACGCTGCATGCCATGCTTGTCATGCTTGACAGTAAGTGATGGTCTGCATGTCTTTCTTTATGTGTTCTCTACTGCTTGACAGGAGCGTAGCTCTGGATCGGCGGCTAGGACGCCCGAGGGTATATTCACACCAGCCTGGCAGGTCATTAGGACAAGGCAAGCCAGGAGCGTGCATCTGAGATGGTGCGATGATTTGTTTTGACTGCGCTGACAGGACAGCGTGCCTTGCAAATGATCTTGTGTTGTTTACATGCTGATCCATGGCTGATCTCCTTCGACGGTTGTGTCCTTGCAAAAAGTCCAGTAAGAACAACATCAACAACACAACATCAACAACGGCAACCAACAGCAATGGCAAACAAAAGATGAATGAGAGGTGCTGTCATGACTGCCTTCGACACTCGATAAATATCCATCACCCAAAGGCTGATCTAATCAGAAAACACTGATGGCCGGAAGAGGCTAGACTCAGACATTCATGTTTCTTTGTGCAATGCAATACAAGCTTTGACAAGATAAACATTTGCAGCGCAAGATAAACAAGACCAGGTGAAAGTGAACGGCTGAAGTCATCACTCTCCGGACCTGCTCCGCTGTGTCGCAGATGCAATGGGATGGAACGAGCCATCTTATCGACTGTGTGGATGACAGTGGTGGCTAGTGCGCGTGTATTCGGCTCCAAACATGGAGGGATACTTCTGGCCTTCGCACACCTGCTAGTGCTGACGAGATCTTGATATGGATAAGGCACGGTGACCGGACCGGTGGTGTGTAGCGGTGTGATAGTAGTGGGCAAAGGGTATACTGAGGTGTAATGCCTTTCCAGTGCCGCTGCAGCAAGCAGAGAATAGCTTGACATAGCCTTGTCAGCATGTGCGTGATTGATACTAGACACGGCAAGGAGCTCTTTCGGTTCACAATGAAAACGTAGAATTACTTCGTGCACAGCGATCCTGAAAAGACGACTGTATCCGCCAAGACAATGATCTGCCGGTGGTGTTTGATTTCTACTCAAACCAAGCCCCGTCCAGTAATCTTGCATCTAGAGGAGCGAGCAGATCACCATTTTTGTGGTAAGGCAATGTAAAGTGAAATGGCATAGTTGCGGCAGTATGGTTTACCAGGATACAACTTTCTGTTGCTAACATGGATGGACAGGAATGCTGCATGCAGCAACGAATCACTGAATCGCTGAGGTGGCTGTTTACATTCGTTGGTGCAGGCACATGTGATGGCACGTTTCCATATTTCCATGCCGGATGATGTTTTGATGCTCCTGGAAATGGCTTCGGAACTTAGGGGACAGAGACAGAGTGTGACTTAGTCCTTAGCTTGTAGAAGTCCTGATTGCACCACTCCAATGCAGCAGAAATCGTGCTAGTTCAGTCCGGGTTTTGATCCCGTAGCTGACATCCACCTTGCATGCCATCGTCGTAGGAATGTGCCAGACAGAATATTGATTTTAGGCCTGCAAGCTAGGATACGGTTGTGTAGCATGCATGCTGTGGAGGGGGAGGGCCTATACTCTGTAGAGCATTGCCGGGCAATGCAAAGCATGTTACAGAAGACTGGCAGTATCAACATTCTATGCAGCAGTCTGCTCTGGCCGGTTTCATATTGGAAATGGACAGCCCTGCTCTGTGGAACTTGTGAGATAGCACACAAGATGGCGTACTACTCCGATGAAGTACGTACTAGTACCAGAAGGCAAATTGAATGCAATGTATGTACATTGAGGTAGACCACTGCCTCAGAGTCTACACTGTTCCATGCCTAGAGACTCAGAGTCTACACTGTTCCATGCCTAGAGACTCAGAGTCTACACTGTTCCATGCCTAGAGACTCAGAGTCTACACTGTTCCATGCCTAGAGGTGTACTGCCTGACGGGAGATGACTTCAAACTGAAGCGTATATCTCACAGGTTCTCATCATGCATCAACACAGTGGACTATGATAGGTCCAATGCACATGGCTTACTGACCTGTGCTAGCCTAAGCAAATCCAGTACTGTCGCCGGGTGTCGAAGAACTGGGGGTCAGCCTCCTAGCCTAGGCCGCTCCTATTTTCATGAACTACAATCTATGCACAGTTGAGTCACCGTGTATACATTGGTATGCTGCGCTGGGTGAAATCCTAGCCTGTTCCTTCTTCTGCACTCCGTTCTTCGCCACACGACAGTACTAAATTCTCCATGAACGGCCATTTTCCATCCGGCGGTGAAGAGCATCATATTGCCCAGCCCTGGTGTTCACACTTCATGGACATGCAGAGCTCCCGCGGTCATGAGTGAAGAGAGCTAGTGAGTAGACATCATCACATACACGCTCCATATAATTATTATCGATACCTGCCTGGGTGGCCAATTTTGTGCCATGCCTGACTTGTTTCAAATCATGATGCCTGCATATCAGAACATTGGCCAGTAGTGGGTGGATACTTTCTGGCATGAACGAGCGGTATTTGATGGGGAGGTTTTGTCATGGTAATTGTTGCCATAGCTGCTATGAATACCCAGTGAATCACACTACTGGTTCACAGCCTGACGCCGGTATGGCTCCGAGTGGCTGAAATCTTTTCAAACTTAAGGTGACAGCTGGGGTCGTTTTACTGTATGCTGAGTTTTGCCGAGACACACACTCTCTCTCTCTCTCTGTCTCTTTCTTGTACTTCCGCTATGCACCTTTCAGGTTAATATTTCAGAACAGGTGGCTCAGAAGCAACTACAGTGTAGTCTATTCCTGTGCCCTGTGTAAGTGAGAGCAGTTATTGCTAAGGACAAGTCATTCAAATGTTGTTTTTGCTCAGCTCTACTCTGGCCAAGTGGAGTGTAAAGACTATGCAGTGCGGTAAAATCCAGCTCATTTGTTAGTTTCTGTAACGATGCCATCGCTTCCCCTAGGGAAGGCCTTTTAGATTGGTACGTATGGCAATCAATGTCCCTTTCCCTGTTGATAGTGAGTGAACGGACGGTGTGGGTGAAGGGCTGCAGGTCAGTTGGAGAAGATCCAACTTGTTTGTGCCTCAGTGCCCAGTGTAATACTTCTCCTTGTGGCTGTGTGGTCCTAGTGTGGACCCGAGCCCATGCTGATGGCATAGGTCACACAGCATGGGTACATCATCCTAGTCTTAATTTTAAACTGCACATCACAAAGTACAGTGAATCATTACAGTGCTCCCCAGCCCTGGTAATCACTGCTGTGGACCTTGCACAGTATGCCCCATTCATCATCTTCCAGCATGTCACACAGTAGTATAGGCTATACTGAACATCACAGCATGTTAACACTCAGCAGGGCAATGATGATAGTCACATTTTGGCCATGCTTGCCCACGCAGCACATAAACAAAGCTGTACTTGTACCTTGCCACCTGACTGCGGCGGTGGAGAACAGTTGTTGTATAAAATAATTATGTGAAAATGATGGAAGCCATAATATTAGGATTTGGACTAAGGTCAAGAAGGTGGTTAGCTAATAATACATTAGATGTTAAATTACACAGAAGAACAAGGCACAAGGTCAGTTTGTTGCAGCTCTGAGTTGCTATGAAATCATCAGGCAACAGGGGCAGATGTTAAAATTTAATTATAATTATAACAATGTATTTACCACTATGGCGCTACTGCCTTTAAGTATTAGCTAATGTGTTAATTTGAAATTGGTGTACTAGCTGTGCTAGTACTTGTTAGCAACAATCCGAACTAGCGCACACACTGCACTGCATTGCTTTGTACTGCATTCAAGACTGACGTCATGCGCTTTGTTTTGCTGCGTAATCACAAATGGCACCAGCCCATTTTTGCGGAAAAGAAAAACAAATCTTGCTTGCCCTGTTGTGCTCTTCCAGACAACGGATCGTGCTTCAGCAGTGTTTCTTTTCCTTTCGTAGCTTTGCTGCCAGCCCGAGTGTCACCTCGAGTCACTGTATTTCTTCAGTATGTCTGACCTTACTGTCGACACTGTCAAGGCAATGCCTTGCCAAGCCCTCCGCGGCGAGCCTTCTCAGCGCGGCTTGAATCCGAAAGGAAACTTAGTAAAAGTATTTTACAGGACCGTTTGCTGGCACAACTAGCCCTTGGTAGTGAGGTCTGCTCCGGCCAGGAGAACCAGCAACATGACAGTGCGGACACGGCTCGCGAGCCCAGAAGCCCGACGTGCACCAATGCCTCCTCCGCCAGCTCAGGTGACGCGGGCTCAACGGATCTCTGCGCTCCCGTACGGGACGAGGTGTAGTCGGCTCTGTCGGCCGCCATTTTATTATTATCGGAGAGCATTGCGCCGCTCCTCACCCAAGGCCAAGGCAATGCGGCAGCTGCCGCCACTACGCCAGGCCAAGCTCCTGTAATCCACCCGATCAGCCACCTGCACCAGCTGTGCCCAAGGCTGTGCAAGACCGTATCTTGCGAGGGGAGTTCGTAGATTTTTCAAGTTTGTTGCCTGAAATTCTTGCACACTTCCGGCCCAACATTCCGGCTGGTGCACAGCCCGAATAACGATAGCCAGCTAAATATCGTTGAGTCGGATGACGCGAAGCAGGTGCGTCGCAAGGTTCACGATAATTACACATGTAGCTACCCTGCTCGAGGCATGGACCACATACATGTCTGTTATCACGGCTGCTGCCCTACACCGCACTGCTGAACTGATTGCGTACCAGCAGTTGATCCTGACTGCTAACTGCCAGTTCTTCCCAAGCGCGTGGCTAGAGTACGACCGCCAGCTGCGGATGCTCGTGGCCCAGTAACCAGGCACGAAGAGGTTGGACACCATCGACGTGAACCTATGGCAGATAGCTGTCACAGGCCATGCACACCCAAAATGCGCTCAATGTAAGACGGTCCATCCAGGGGCGGTTTGTGTCCTTTTCGTCCCGAAGCCAGCAGCATTTACCTCCAGTGGTCGCAACCATACCAGCGACGGCCAAGAAATCTGCCGCAACTTCAATGGAGGTCGCTGTTCTTCGTCGTCGTGCCGCTTCTCCCACACCTGCAGCCAGTGTGGCAAGGACCACCCATGCATCATGTGCAACCAGCAGCAGCGCGGAGCCAATCGGCCACCCCGCCGCTCCTAGCAGAATGGCTACTGAATCGCTTGACTCGGTACGTAGCTTCTTTCCTGTACACTCTGCAGACACCACACTGCTAGCTGACCACTTTGCCCGCCTGTTACGTAACCACTCAGATCAATCATGTGTTGTGTATGTTCTCCATGGCCTGCGCCGTGGCTTTACTCTTGGATCTGCCGGCCAACACGACATTTCGGTTTTCTCTAATAATCTACCATTGGCTTGCACTCACTCGGCATTTATATTCGAGCAATTAGCTGCTTCCTGCGCCCGCAGCGAGACCACAGGCCCATTTCCGTCACCTCCATTTCAGTTCATGCGCCGCTCTGGTATTGGTGCCATCCCCAAAAAGAACGGCAAGCCGCGAATGATCCACCATCTGTCTAGTCCGGAAGGCACCGGCGCGAACGCCAGCATTCCTGCCGAGCCGCTCTCTCTCTGCACTACGCGAGCATCGACAACGCGATCAACATCATCATGTCATGCCCACAGCCTGTGTATTTGTCCAAGCTCGATGTACGCAGTGCATTTCGGCCGATCCCAGTCCGCCGCCAGGACTTCGCTGGGAAGGCTCCTACTACTACGAGCGCTTTCTGCCTTTCGGCCTCCGCTCCAGCCCAGCCGTCTTTGACTCAGTAGCCACAGCAGTCAACTGGATCATGCAGCACGAGTTTGCTATAGATCACCGGCTTCACTACCTCGATGACTTTCTCGATATCTCCACTGGTTTGGCTGCAGCCAACCAGCAACTCACCATCTCCCCTCCGGGCGTTCACGTATCTCGGCACTCCTCTTTGCTCCATCCCAGCTCGAAGGGCCATCACCATCATTGACCTTCCTTGGTATTGTCCTAGACTGCGAGCGCCACGAAGCTCGGCTACCAGAGGACAAGCTGTCCGAGATCCGTGCGCCACTCATGGCTACTATCAGCGAGCGCAGCATCGGCCAGCGTCAACTCGAGTCCCTCCTGGGGAAGCTCACTTTTGCTGCCCGAGTCATCGTTCCTGGACACACATTCATGCGTGAACTATGATCAGCGTGCCCTGAACTGTATCTGTGTATGCGAGTGCGGTGCATAAAGCCCACCTTGAGAATGGGTTTGCCGGCCCCTTAGTAGATGCGTGGCTTCTGAAGAGGGTGTTGAAGGGCATCCAGCGATGCCATTGTACGGCTGCACTCACCCCTCGCCTTCCTATAACTATGCCAATCCTACGACACCTGACGGATGCACGCCGGAAAAGTAGTATCCTGAATGGCCATGACAAGCTGCTCTACCAAGCCGCCATGCTGCTTCTTTGGATTTCTTCGGTGCGCTGAATTCACTAATGGCATCACACGGGGCTGTACTAGCTCCCCTGGTGACGGACACCTGCAACTCTTCCTGCTTTCATCCAAGACGGACCCATTCGGTAAAGGCGTTACTAGTGACATTGGCCCGTCTATACCGCCGTACTGCCCGGTCCGTGCCATTGTTAGCTACCCATCTGTCACTCGTCGCGAGGGACCGGAGCAACTCTTGTTCGTACTCTCGAACAGACAGCAGCTGACCAGGCAGTCATTCACAGTAACAGTATGGTCTCTTGTCGCTGCGGCCGGTGTACCATCCCAGTCGAACTACTCCGGGCATTCGGTCCACATTGGTGCAGCCACCACCGCTGCTATGGCTAGTGCCCCCGACTCCTTCTTCCGAGTGGCAGGTCAGCGGAAAGAGCGATGCGTGTCTACGCTACATCCAGACTACAACAAGCGCATAGCGCCAGCTATCGTCCCGGCTTGCTGCCGTGCCATGGATGCCATGATCCCCAACTCGGGTGAGTAATGAGCTACTGAACTCTAGCTGCGCAATGCTTGCCTGTGCTGACATTAATTGACCCTTGCTGTGCGTCAATAGTGCTTAGCTAACGGAGTGCTGGTTTCATGGGTCCACTCTCACAACTGGTGTTATCTAGCTATTTGCTGCGGCTCTGCCTTGCGCTATATTACATCCATTTAGCATTGCAGCTCTACGTTGAGCTAACAGCAGCTCTACTTTGAGCTAACAGCAGCTCTACTTTGAGCTAACAGCAGCTCTACTTTGAGCTAACCTCAGCTCTACTTTGAGCTAACCGCAGCTCTACTTTGAGCTAACAGCAGCTCTACTTTGAGCTAACCGCAGCTCTACTTTGAGCTAACCGCAGCTCTACTTTGAGCTAACAGCAGCTCTACTTTGAGCTAACAGCAGCTCTACCTTGAGCTAACAGCAGCTCTACTTTGAGCTAACAGCAGCTCTACTTTGAGCTAACAGCAGCTCTACTTTGAGCTAACAGCAGCTCTACTTTGAGCTAATCGCAGCTCTACTTTGAGCTAACAGCAGCTCTACTTTGAGCTAACCGCAGCTCTACTTTGAGCTAACCGCAGCTCTACTTTGAGCTAACCGCAGCTCTACTTTGAGCTAACAGCAGCTCTGCTCTGAGCTAACACCAGCTCTACTTTGAGCTTCAAACCAGTTGTTTCGAAACCAGCACTCCTCAATCCAAAGATGCCTCTTTGTTGACTTGTTTGTGTGAGGGATGGGGCTAATGGTGTACTAGCTGTGCTAGTACTTGTTAGCAACAATCCGAACTAGCGCACACACTGCACTGCATTGCTTTGTACTGCATTCAAGACTGACGTCATGCGCTTTGTTTTGCTGCGTAATCACAAATGGCACCAGCCCATTTTTGCGGAAAAGAAAAACAAATCTTGCTTGCCCTGTTGTGCTCTTCCAGACAACGGATCGTGCTTCAGCAGTGTTTCTTTTCCCACCATCCCTCCCTATCCAACTTATTCACACCATCATAATATTATCGTACCCACTAACCGGGTCCACTCTCACAACTGGTGTTATCTAGCTATTTGCTGCGGCTCTGCCTTGCGCTATATTACATCCATTTAGCATTGCAGCTCTACGTTGAGCTAACAGCAGCTCTACTTTGAGCTAACAGCAGCTCTACTTTGAGCTAACAGCAGCTCTACTTTGAGCTAACCGCAGCTCTACTTTGAGCTAACCGCAGCTCTACTTTGAGCTAACAGCAGCTCTACTTTGAGCTAACCGCAGCTCTACTTTGAGCTAACCGCAGCTCTACTTTGAGCTAACAGCAGCTCTACTTTGAGCTAACAGCAGCTCTACCTTGAGCTAACAGCAGCTCTACTTTGAGCTAACAGCAGCTCTACTTTGAGCTAACAGCAGCTCTACTTTGAGCTAACAGCAGCTCTACTTTGAGCTAATCGCAGCTCTACTTTGAGCTAACAGCAGCTCTACTTTGAGCTAACCGCAGCTCTACTTTGAGCTAACCGCAGCTCTACTTTGAGCTAACCGCAGCTCTACTTTGAGCTAACAGCAGCTCTGCTCTGAGCTAACACCAGCTCTACTTTGAGCTTCAAACCAGTTGTTTCGAAACCAGCACTCCTCAATCCAAAGATGCCTCTTTGTTGACTTGTTTGTGTGAGGGATGGGGCTAAAGAGTGATAGATTCTGTGATGGGAGGTGAAGAATATAGTCAGTTGGTCAGAGCATGCCGATAGAATATGTTAGAGATTAATTGATGCAGATTATTGCATAGAATATGTTAGAAGCATATCGGTGTTGATTATTGCATAGAATGTTAACGGTGGAGGGAAACAAATCAAACACTGTGCTAACATCCCAAATATGTTGCTCAGCTGGGCGGTACTGAAGATAGTAGGTACAACCTTTCAACAAATCAAAAAAAAACTACGCCTGAAATTACCGTTCCATTGTGGAAAACATGATTCTGCAGCATGACTGCATGACATGGGTGCACACGTGTTTCATGTAATCTTAAGGGCTAACTATTCAATCATTGGCTATTGTCACTCAAGGGATTAGACAAAACTAGGCACGGAAACGTTCTGGTTAGCGAACTATTTCCATTGTCTATTTGCCGTGCATTGTTTGGACCCACTCACAATGTGAATAGCCGATCTTTTTGAATTTGAATTCCCATTTCTCTTTGCCATTGCGCTTACATTCACCTCTCCGCTTGAAGAGCACTTGCCGGTTGATGGCAATCGGCAGACAGTAGTATCCTCGATATGACTGCATCAGCCTCAGTCTTGGGTTGGGTCTGCATTCTACCGAAGGCACAACACTGGGATAGCGATCCACGTCTGTATCCCACCTTGGCACCGAGTTGCAGATGGATACATTAACAGCTGACCAGGGTGCCTGTATGTCTCTGGCTGTACTGTTCATCTGCAGCAGGTAGCGCTGGAGAAGCTGCTTCCGATTGGCCTTCTTGCAGCGCTTCCTGCTTGGCTGAGGGACGGTGATTTTCGACGAGCCGGACCCTGTTTCATGATTTGTCTGATTAACGGCTACTTCTGTGTCTTCTTGATTGCGGCTTTGCTGCTGTGCAGATTCTGTGTAGAGGAAACAGAAACCAGATCCAAGAATACATGAGACAATATACTTCAGGGTTTCAGCACACCCATCGACCAAAATTGAAAGTTACACCACTGTCCCGCCTGTCTTTTGATCTCTATTGATGCATCTGTCTCATCGCGGTAGCCTGTGCGGTGATCATGCCATCATTCATGGTTAGGCACATGTGAGCAATCTCACCACTCCATGAAGATAGCACATAGTAGCGCTGTAGCTCATGTGTGTGCATGCTTACAGTAGGGCTGCAATAGGCTATGGCTCCACATCCCTCACCCACTGGTCTGTATGCTCGTGTGAGCAAGGAACTACTTCGACCATTTTGACTGTTTATACAATGAAGTAGCGTCCAGTCATCCAGTCATCATGGTCATGATGTACACTGCTTTTGGAATGTAGAAGTAAGTCCACGCTTACTAGCATTCCCTCTGACCGGAACCTAAATCACCTAACCCTGAACGTAATCACTGATGGTGTGTAGTATAGCTATTAGTATTACTGGTGGTGGCAGTGCAATGCATTGCCACACACACACGCACAATACATTCCTAGACAATGTCATCTTGCTTCTTAGGAAAACAAGGCATAGATCCGATTATGCACGAGCAAGTATATGCAAAAAAAGGCCAGTACTAGTATATGCAATGCGATTTGAATCGGCCTCGATAGCGGTTAAACCTGGTAGTGTACGCCGTAGACCATGTGGACAGGCTGCACCGGTGTTATGGGAACAATGGAGAAGACCAAAAGGTGCCGTGGAGCCCTCTACATAATGACATACGTTGTGCTGCAAACCTTCAGGGGCAAGGGCAGGCTACTGATCGTGAACCGGCAGGAGCTCTTCGGAGACCCAGGGTCGCCACTCTAGTTTCCTTCAGGCTATTTTCGTTGCTTTTATTTTCGCAATAGACAAGCGTGAATAAGACCAACATGTGCAGGGCAGTTGCTCCTTTTCGGAGGCCTAATTGGCAAAAAGCCAAGGGCTGACAGTGCAAAGTGCTTGCGACCATTTTGTGGCAGTGACGTGGTCCCGACTTCTGGCTCCGGAGCTCCAGAGAATTGACTTGCACATTGTATTTATCTGGGGCCAAGTCACGCTACTCCAGATCACAAAACAGCGGGTGGTGTCATGAGCACGAGCTACTGTGAGCGTGACGTCAAACGGACCACTGTTCTCACTCCTGCTGCACATGGTCCGCGCTCGCAGGCTATCGCCATGATCGGCCATGGCCACTAGTATCAGTGTATCCCCAGTCTGTGCGAAGTAGTGCCAGTAGTCAAGGGTGAGCTATGGCTGCTGTCGCCGGACTCTAGACTAGAGTAAGAGGACGCAAGGCAAAGGAACGCAAGCGTATGGGCCAGGATTTCCATGGTCGACATGATTGTACTGGATTTAGAGACCTGTGACATGCAAAGATGCATGCTGTACGCCGCAAGACTGATACCGGGTCGGTGTCTAGCTCGGCCAAGGTTGAAGCAAATGCCAAGGGAGCCAGGCAGCCAGACAAGCACTGCAACGCGTCATCATGGTCATGGGAAATAAGAAGAGCAGCATTGCTTGCGGGGTATGAGTCTGGCGATCAAGTCAGTAAACTCACGCCATACGCCAGTATACTCGCACCTACCGACCGACACACCTACACACACACATCTCAGCTGCAGAGTGTAGCCAGACTCAATACAAGAAGCAAGCAGGAAGAAGACGGTTGCGTATCCTTCAAACACCTGAAAACACCTGAACGGTAGAAAAGACCAATGGTGGAGCCTGTACAGCTATTCAAGTGTCTTTCTGTTACACTGCAGTTGCACTGACGAATAATCCACAAGCATATCGTTAATACCCCTAATTGAATAAGGATAAGTGATAATACAAAGATATTGACAAGGTGTTCCTGTTTACAAGTATTTCAAACTCACCGGTTTCGGCCGATGATTTGCCATCTGCTTTGCGGTCGAGCGGAGCACACCAACTATCTCCCATCAAGCTGAGAAGCAGCAGCAAAATCAAGCTGAGGCGCCATACCAGCAACTGCCTCTTGAAGAGAGCCAATACGCACCAAGGAGCACCATCTGAGCGAAGCATCTTCAGCAACTGCCCCGAGCAACACTGCGTATGCTGGCCGACCGGTGCCTTGCAACTGGCGTATACGTAATCTAGGATCTACCGGTATGGGCTTAGGCACAGGCTCTTCAATCCTGACGTTACGCCAGCAGCTGTAACCTGTATTAGGCCGTCTGAAACTGCGGAAAGCGTGGGAGCAGACAGAAATGTTATCGAGTCGGTGATAAACTGCGAAGTCGACGAAGTCTCGAGGCAACTTTGTAGGCCTCCTTTCCCTATTGCCGCTAGTCGGATGCTCTGCTGTTCCCTCGCCGTCTGCAGCCTGTAGAGGGATGGGAGGTGGCAGTGCTCGAGTTGTCTGCAGCAGCATAGCCTGGAGATGCAGCTAGTTGCAGCACCATTCGATAGGGTCAAGGAACTCGGTGGCTAGGGGCATAGGGAGAGCTGTCAGCCTGACACAACCATTGTTTATACGAGTCTCTAGTATTATGATCATCAGCCTATGGCTTGCCGGGCCAGGGTATGCACTGCTTTGTTTTTCACGTGATCAGAAAGGTCAGCACGTACCTGTATTATTACTGGTTTCGTGTATGACAGTGTAGACACACGGACTAGCTATTTTGACACATGCTTTGGCAGCCTGAGACCGAGAATCAACACACACTTTCTCCAGCTTCGGTTACAAGGAAAGACCGTGGCAGTCGACTACTAGTCGGTCAGACCAGCACGTTCGCAAGATGGCAATGCAAGTCAGTGTTCGGATTGCTTTTTTCGACGACTGTTGATGGCTCGGACTCGGAGTCAACGAGTCGTTGCCTACAGCGTTATATAGATCATGGGCGACAATATCCTGTGCATTGTACTGTGATAAGGGTGGGCCTAAGACAGTCAGTCCTATAGCACATGTATCCTGTTTTGTGAGTACAAAGGTGGATCTATTGTTTGGACCGTCACCAATGCCAGCACTATAACAATATGGGTGTCTAGCCATGCCTAGTGTCCTAGCTATGTTTCATTGGTTTCTGCCGAATCACTGCAGGGGTTTGGATCCGGGTGTTGGTAGGTGGCGATGGCGATAGCGCTCCCTACGGTTGGGGTGGCAGTGTCAGTTAGTGCTGTGCGCTGACATCAACACTCAAGCTTTAGTTCTCCTCCAGACAAGCGTTGCAAAGGAGCAAGATTGATCCTGAGCTCATCTCAGGTCCGATCATAGCGGCTTGAAGGTCTTTGGTTGATTGCCTGTCATAGATGTTTACACCAGAGAAACCAAGGTTGAACTTGCTTGACATAACCCTGCATAACTGGGGGTTGGAGAATGGGCCCATCAGTTCATCGAACGTCTCCTAGTTGACTGGTCTAAAGTTGTTCCCTGCGAGCATATAACATTAGTTAATATGTGTCAGCGTGATTTACCAAGGTTCTGAATCCGGCGCGAATATTGACACTTAACTGAGATGCGTCGGTTCCGTCAAACTCAAATGCGAAGAATGTTATGGGTCACCAACCAATGACGCAATCACGTAACCACCAAATCATTCCACCGCTACGTGAAGATTATGTTGTGAGAGCAAATCCTCTAAGATGGCCATGGGCGCCCGCGGAATGTAACTTATACACAACAAAACATAGCAGACTGTAGCCATATTCACACATTGCATTCTGGAACTTTCGCAATGATCCTATTAGAACCACCAGAAGTAATATGAATGACTCATCAACAGCTACAGAGCCAAGGGAAAGTCCTGCCAACGTCTCTACAACGAGAATACTCCAGTATGAATGAGCTTCTTTTGATCCGTCTTGACAAACAGTTTAGAATTTGCCCGATGGTTATGGATGATTAACCCTGGATATGACCACAGTTTGCTAACAAACACGTGTATATATGCAGTAAACTAACGTAATGTTCGTATGTATCCACGTTACCACCGGCGATACAATTGTGTTAAGAAAAACACAACGAGGTTAGAGAAGTTCCGCTAGTGCCAGGCCACCACCATGCCTTATCAGTGAGGGTGGCAGATTGCATGCAGCAATGCAAGTGGCGAGGGTGAGAATACTGATGGTAAGCTTACAACCAGTGCCCGAAAGGGGACAAAACCCTTCAAAGTTTGCTCCATTCACCCTCATTCCTAGCAAGTGCAGTCAGGCAGTATCGAGAGTAAATAAGCTCCACCCCACTGCGCACTGTCTACATGCAGTGTTGCTGTCTCGCACAGGAAGTGGTGTCCTTAGCAGTTGTTCCAGGAACATGTACTGGCACACTTACTGACCCGTAAATCATGCAGGTACAGTGTACAGTGTAGCACGTTTCACAAAATGCTGCGACAAAGCAAAGTATAACGAGTATTGTCTTGTTTTAGGGAGATTATGGTCAGGCTCAACCTCCATCTCCTTGATTTAGCCTCGATCAGATAGGCTTCCAGAGCCCTTTTCCAGGCCCACACTATTCCTCATCAATAAATCATGTACATGTATGTGGATGAGCTGAGTAAAGACGACGTGTTGTGAATGTATGGAGTTACCTGCAGAAAAGTAAGTTGTTGGGTTGCTCCTGCCAACCTCCCATGCAGTGAGTTTCTCAATGGTCACACCAACTACCTTCAATGCTATACAGTTTCAGTGCTTGAAGGACTGGCGAGAATGTAATATGCATCATGTTCACTTTCCAGTTCTGTTTCCCTGTGCTGATCAGCAGAATCCCAACGCAATTCGAGCTAAGCCCAGCGGGCGAGATGAACGGTCCCAGCAGTACTGCCTCAAGCTCCTTGTGTGACTTGCTTTCCCTACCGCACCCGCGGGCTGATACCAGAACAGGCGAGTCACTCTGAGCACGTGACAAACCTGGTGTGTGTGTGGATGTCAAGACTGAGTAGCTAGTTCGAGCACTTC